TATGATATTTAGGAATGTTTGGGAGAAAAAAGTGGATGTTGTGTCAATATTTTATGTATTCTTTCTAAAGAGACAAACACGCATAAAGAATCTATAATCATTTGACTTGACAATGAAATTGTTCTGGCCAAAATAAATATTGGCACCTTTTCACCTTTTTCGTGTATATAGTTAACGCCGATGAAATAAATCTAAGAACCTTACCATCAAATACTTCGAGCGTGGACACTCATTTATTGTGTACTAAGCTGAATTTTTTCTTCAGTCATTGTGTGACTTCCAGGACATTCGAATCTTAGACACTGCGTTTAGAATCGCAATGCTTATCGTTTAGGTTGCAAGGTTTTCTAATAGGTTGAAATACTACAGAGTTCTTTTTTAGTCGTATAGTTTTTTCAAATTCCGATGGATAATTGCTTTATATCCGATATGTCACACGTTTCGTCAAACAAAATATAAAAACCGTAACATTTCTTTACCCCATCATCAATAATTGATTGCAGGAACTCTACAGTGTGTCCCCGGATTGTGTCCTCGTAAGGTATAATTGACGATAAATTTTTGAATTCAAATTCCATCTTTTACAATTAAAGTCTGGATGTCATAAAACGAAATATAACCAAGTTTTACGTTAAATGTCCTCAAAGTACCAAAGTTAACCCAAAAAGTTTGTTAACCGTTGCAAGTAAAGTGGTCTTTCTGAGCAATGTACAGCAAAAGTTGATTAAAATAAAATGTTTGTTATGTTAAATTATAGCGATATGCCGAATTTTATTAATTTAAGATATAAAAGCAAAATGCAGATTTTTAAATCATAAGATAAAAGTTTATTCAATGATACCACCACCAACACTAACACATAATTCAGCCTTTTTCCGACATTGTTTATAACTTTTTCAAATATGGTCCAACGTAATTTCTTTAATAACAGTTTCAATTTTTTGTTTGAAACGGTCTAAATTGTTTCTAAATTGTTGAAATTTTCAGTGTACACTTTTTGTTTTACATAATCCCAAAAATAAAAATCCATAATAGTTAAATCCGGACTTCTTCGCAGCCATGGTTGCGGACCACATCTACCAATCAATTTTTTCCAAATAACCTATTTAAATAATTTCTAATTAAAATAGTCGAATGTGGGTCGCAACCATCTTGTTGAAAATATAATTTATTGCGTTTTTCTAAATACACGCCGTGAAGATAATTAAATAAACAATTTTCTAGTATTTCCAAATATCGGTGTTGATTCAAATTGCCGTTTATGAAGGAAGGTCCAATAACACCGTCCCACGAAACAGCACACCAGCACACAAGCTATGCTATAATGTGAATTAGTCTTTGACCAGAATCGACAATTTTGTGATGTAACCACTCCATTAGTGGTGAACGATGCTTCGTTCGAAAATATTATGCTTTTTAAAAAAGTTCTGTCTTTCAAGATTTTGTACCCAAGCCACAAACAATAATCTAAACGTTTTGCTTCATCACCTAATTCGATAGTGTGGTTAAATTTTGGTTTATACGGCAATATTTTATTTTCTCGATAAATTCTTTGTATATGGGATTTACTTATATCGACTTGAACTGCCCTTTTTCTTAACGATACTTTACCGTAATCCATTGCGTTTGTTACTGCAACAATCGACCCCGCATCATGTTCATCTAAAAGCTTTTTTTTCCTTCCTTTTATTTTCCACATTGCCTGTTTCTGAAATTTTTTAACAACTCTCTTAATTGTTTTTGTAGTACTAAAAATCAAAATTTTTCCTCAAATTGCCTTAAAACTGCATTGTAACTAATGTTCCCCAATCCATAGCACTGCACTATAAATATTTTATGTTGTAATGTAAACATGATTAATTAATAGTTGACAATAGGCTAAAGCTAAGCTATCAAATGATAATTGTTAGTTCACTCAGATCATTTATTTTTATTGTAAAACAGAATATTAGAAAAAAATTTTCAAGAAAAAACTCATTTTTTCTTTTATGTGCTAAATTAATAAAATTCCGCATATCGCTATAATTTAACATAACAAACATTTTATCTTAATCAACTTTTGTTGTACATTGCTCAGAAAGACCACTTTACCTGCAACGGTTAACAAATTTCTTGCGTTAACTTTGGTAGTTTGAGGACATTTGACGTAAAACTTGGTTATATTTCGTTTTGTGACATTCAGACTTTAATTGTAAAAGATGGAATTTGAATTCAAAAATTTATCGTCAATTATACCTTACGGGGACACAATCCGGGGACACACTGTGTATGTCCCTGTTCTGTGTCGGTTCTTATGTGAATCACCCTGTATATCTACGGCCAGGTTCTAAGAAAATAAATAATTTATTTTCTTCTTATTAAATAATACACAGAGCAGGGACATGTAGAGTACAATAAATTGCATGCATATTTTTAAATAATATTTTGAAATAATTAATACAATAATTCTTTCAATTTTCACTCTTCTTATAGAACAAACTTATACAGGGTGTCTCAGCGAGACCGGTCATTAGACGTTTCTGGGGTTCTGGCGAAAATAAAAATTTGAGAATTCAGACTTAAGTATTATCAATTGCGATCTCTTCGTCTAAAATATTTTCAGATTTCTTGAAGTCGCCACCAACTTTATTTTTTTAAATGGAACAGCCTGTATATTTTTACATATTTGGCTTTGTCGGTTTTCAAGGTTTATAAATAACTTTACTTTTTGCAATTTGATTCGGTCGTTCTCGAGTTATTCGAATTTTTCTAGAAAAATCTGCTCCAGCAGACATTTGTTCAAAAAATCAGAAAACACTTAATTTTTGGGATATCAATTTAGGATTGAAAACATGCTTAAGCAACATGATGGAGTATGTTTTGGTGCCGAGAACTGCGGTCTAGAACGTTTGATCACTTTACTATGGCACGTTAACTTTTTAAAATTTGGAAGTACCATAACTTCATTTTTTTAAATGGCACCCCCCATATTTTATTTTTTAGTCGTCTTCGGTGTCTCATTCTACATCTTTTATATCGCATATGGCCCATACCTAATATTAATAGTTTGGGAGATAATTAGGGTTTTTTAAAAAATGCACACATATCATATGGATATTTAGCCTAGTGTGCCATGAAAAATAAGCCTTCTCAATGAGTTCTTGTTAAAGACTCACTTGTTTACGTCACTTGATGCATGTGAGCTAATAATTCTCTGTTATGTCCCTTAATATTAGTACTGAAATGAGTTAAAATCGATAACAATAACGAAAGTAATATTTACACAAATCAACAAATTCTTAATTTAATTTTTTTTGCATGAAAAGCGCGACAAAGTTCGTAGTATGATTCCCAGATCTTCTTTGGCAGCTCGAATTGAGGTGTTGGGACTGGGCTCGAAATAAGCCAAGGTATTCACCTCTTCCGTTGCATTATCTACTACATTTTTTGGTCAGTTTAACACGTGATTAATTCGTCCAAAATGCAAAAAATTTGTTTCTATTCCTCTAAATTTACCTTTTGTCATCGGAGATAAATGTGGATAATTTTCATTAAACATTTTGCAAGTTCTATTAAGAACTTTGTCACACTTTTCGTGCACAAAAAATAAATTATGGATTTCTTCATTTGTATAAACATTATTTACGTTATTAATATCCATTTTAACTGGTTTTAGACTCACAAGCATCAAACAAAATAAATTAGACTTTGACGTTTATCAATAAGTCATTAAACATTTGTTTTCCATGGCAAACTAGGTTAATATCCATATGATATGTGAGCATTTTTCAAAAAACCCTAATTATTTCTCAAACTATTAATGTTAGGCATAGGACATATGGAATATAAAAGATGTAAAATGAGACGCGGAAGACGACTAAGTAATAAAATATGGGGAGTGCCATTTAAAAAAATTAAGTTATGGTGCTTCCATATTTCGAAAAGTTAACGTATCATAGTAAATTGACCAAACGATCTAGACTGCCGTTCTCGGCACCAAAACATACTCCATCATGTTGGTTAAGCATGTTCTGAATCCTAAATTGATATCTCAAAAATTGAGTGTTCTATGATTTTTTGAACAAATGTCCGCTGGAACAAATTTTTCTAGAAAAATTCGAATAACTCGAAAATTGCTGGTTCAAATTGCAAAAAGTAAAGTTATTTATAAACCTTCAAAACAAACAAATCCAAATATGTAAAAATATACAGGGTGTTCTATTTAAAAAAATAAAGTAGGTGGCGACTTCCGGTATAACCGGAAGTGCTAGAAATCTGAAAATATTTTAGATGAAGAGAACGTAATTGATAATACTTAAGTCTGCATACTCAAATTTTTTGTTTGTCCAGAACCCCAGAAACGTCTAATGACCGGTCTCGCTGAGACACCCTGTAGAGTGAATCGATCGTGTGATTAAAACAATTCTTTTCTTTTACGTTTCCGATAATAATCGTAAATGAAATAATCATCTGCGCAGGTTGGTTGTGTTCGTGGAACTGCTTGGCGTGAAGTTCGAAGTTTAGCACTGTACTTTATTAATTCTGATTGAGAAATGGTGTTACGTGTTAGTGATTTTTAGTAATTGTCGTTTGCCAATCAAGATTTGCTTGATAGTAATAGCGTAATCAATAAATTTAGGGGCCATTTAAAGATGTTCAGAATAGGCAACGGATTGTGTTTCATTATAGTTACAATAAATTGGATATTTTCAGTATTTTTATAATAGATAACTTTCATAAAATATGTTAGTTATCTAATTTGAACTGTATCGATATTAATAACTTTAACATAGATAGCTTTTTTCAGTAATTAACCTTTTAAAGGCCGTACGGTCATTCAAAATAAAAATAGAAATTTGAAAAATGTAAATTGAAACAAACGCCCTTAATACAAAGTCAGTTTTATAAAAAAGTCAATTAAAAATTACAAATTTAATGCTATATTCCCAAAAAGAGAACGTTGGCATGTAGAAGGTTAAACTCGTTCATAGGTTTTTAAAGGATTAATGAAACAATTTTTTTGATAATTTGTACATACGTTTTATTTAATTTTAGAATTTTTAAAAACACATCTACGGGTTGGGTGTTACAATAAGGATGTCTCTTCTTTTCACTACTTACGGTTATAAATAGATTTCGTATTTATCAACTAGGTATCTTACAATTTTAATACCGTGGAAATTATCATCGGCCTTCATTATCATCTTAATAGAAATTACACGCTAAACTCATTGTCAGATAAATTAATATGTACAATCGGTTGTAATCGATAATTTATACATTATACATTTCGGGGGATTTACGCGCAGTTACAGAAGCTCCATTTCTTAATCGTTTCGTTCCTCGTATACAATTGCACGCTTTAGAAAAACGTAAAAAAAAGGCTTTTTCTATAGTTCCAAACAAAAAGGAAAGATGATACACATTTTAAATATATTACATATCTACAAAGTTAATTCCCAGCTAATTATACTACCAAGCCCTCGCTTGTAGTGGTAAGTACGTCCCGCACTGTTGCTGGTAATTACTTTGTTGACGATAAGCCATCGCTAATCCACCGTTAGCCATACACTGGGTTTGTTGTTGCGGTGGACAGACCGGAGACTGTTGTTGTCTTGAAATTTCTGATGAAGAAACCGTCGTGGTGTTTTGATTGTTTGAGCCGCCGGAGCAGGGTTTTCCGTCCTTGACTAAAACCGGCACGGCCACCCTACGCGGTGAACTGGACGACTGAAAGCAATAGAAAGAAAAAAAAAAGATAAAACAAAGCCAAATTGTTTTGTATTACAAGCATGGGGGATGAAAAGTGGAGGTGAAGAGACAGACGTGAGCTTTAAAAATATCGACAAATTTCTCTCTCGGCTGCATTATTTTCCAGGGGCTAGAGGAACAAGGGAGGATGACCACTTGAGCACACGCTCACTCGAGAGGGTACGCTACGTCACCGGCTGCCATGGTTACGTTTTCCCGTTAACGTTTTATCTGAGGGTTAGTTATGATGATGATTTTGTTACAACTAAATTTATATTAACATTTTTCTCCCTAATTTGATTAATAATTTCGATAAATAAGAATGACTAACTGACTAAAGTGTGGAGTTGCCGTTTAGTTCTTGCTAAATTGATCCTGTCGTGCTGCCCCCGTAATTGAATCAGCGATTATTAAAATCACTTCAGACGACTGCTTCCGACGGATGCCATACTCGAAACCACTACTAAAACAGTCAGCATCACGCCACAAATTATCACTAATTTCCTAAGTAGTTTCTTTAAAAAAGTACTTTTTTTGATTCTTAAGAAATTTATTCTACCAAAACAAATATTATTTAATAATTTTATTGCGAAACAATGTCTTCGCTTTAAACTCCGGTAATTGCGTCATAGAAAGCACGTTTGTCCAAACACAACACGCTTTCTCGTCGGATGGAGTTCTGTAAACACAAATCTAAGTAAATACGGAGGCCATGTTCTGGCATCTTATTACCGCGGTCAAAGACAAGTTTTTTAGGCAATCACCTGAGTTATAGATGTATTAAATGGGATTTGGGAGTTATTTTAAGTTCTAAACGAGCGTCGACAGCCGTTATTGTCCGTAAAGGAAACCCTGGGGCGCGTGTTTGTGGGATTATAAGGATTTTGCGGAGTGATTGTTGAATGGGAAAGGTGAGGTAGGTTGCAAACGTACGTACCTGGTTGTGTTGGTTCTGTTCGGCCATCGCCTTCTCCTTCGCCTGCCTTTTGCACTTGTACCTGTGGTTCTGGAACCATATTTTCACCTGCAACAACAGAGATCTGGATAAATATTTGCCTTTTGGCGCACCTTCTTTATGGATGACGACATTTCGAGGAATTTTATTTTATACATCATCTGCTGTACAAATATCACAAAAACATTGTAATGGTTGAAAGACAGTTTTTTCAAATTAGTAAAATGATTGTTTTTGCGCCATAATTATTTATTAAATCTGATAAACTGTTGACTATTGCTATTTCTCTTTATCTTGAAACTTTCAAGTCATGTCGTATAAAGGAATACGAAAAGATCATCAGATTAGGAAACTCCGCCAGGGAACGATACCATAAAATAGTTTTCGATATAATAAAAATACTTGCCACTACCGCCAGAGTAGTGGCAACATTAACTAACAAAATAACTCCTAACAAAATTCGCTTGCTGACGTACAGGGTGTCCAAATTTCGATGGGTTTGCAGGCTATCTCAGTTATTATGAAAGGTAGAAAGTTGCGGCTTTCGCCAACCTGAGCTACTTTTTTGTGAAACTTACAATGGCGCAAACCAAGTTTTCATAGCCCTTTTCGTTTTTGATATACAGAGAGAGTTTCAAAATTTACGATTTTCAGACACCCCTGTATGTCGGCTATCCGGAAACGTAAAAATGGATTCTAATAGATTTTTTCACGTAGAATCCAATGGTGCACGTAGAATTTTTCTAGTCATCAAGGTTTTTGAGTTATAAAGAGTTAGGTATTTTAGAAGTTGAGTATTCAGTTTCACATTTGAGTTGTGTTTATAACTCAAAAACCGTGATGACTAGAAAAATTCTACGTGCACCATTGGATTCCACGTGAAAAAATCTATTAGAACCCGTTTTTACTTTTTTACTAAGTTTCCGGATAGCCGAGATACAGGAGGTGTCTGAAAATCGCAAATTTCAAACACGAAGAGGACTATGAAAATTTGGTTTGCGCCATTGTAAGTTTCACAAAAAAGTAGCTCAGGTTCGCGAAAGCGGCAACTTTCTATCTTTCATAATAACTGAGATACCCTGCAAACCCATCGAAATTTGGACACCTTGTACAACAAGGACTCCGATCTGGAAAATCACACACTGATGCACATACAACACGCATATCAGTGTTTCATTGATCTTAAAAAATCATTTGACCGTATTACGCTTCAAGATGTAACGCACCTGTTATATAATACTGATATATCGGTCAATATAATACAGACAATAGAAGATATATGTATATATGCGAATTCTATCATAGAAGCAAGAATCAACGGTAAATTAACAAACAATATCACAATAAACAGTGGCATCTTTAAGTCCACAACTGTTTAATATAGTCATGGACGAAATAATAAAACAAATAAAACGTGGTAGAGGATATAGAATGGGCGATAGAGAAATCCGTACATAGAAATATTCACAGAAAAAACAAAATTTAAAGCCACGTTTAAACAAGAGCAACAACTAAAATTTCAGTATCTGGGTATGAATGTAACAGGTGGCAAAAGCAAATAAAATAGCGGGGTGCCTCAACCAACTGATTTGGAAACACAAACATATTAATCGAACCATATAAACAAGAACATATATTACAACGATAAGGGCCTTTATGACTTATATATCGGACACAAAACCAGATACATCAAAAATAAGAACACTTCTTGAGACAACTGCGATGAAAATTCTTAGAAAGATTCCGGGGAAAACCTTATTGGACAGAAAGCGAAGTGAAGATATAAGAAAGAAATGCAAAGTTAGCGAATGGGTACGAAATAGAAAACAGGAATTGAACCAACAAATTTGTGTGAGTAGCCCCAAACAAATCACCTGACGACAGCAGAAGTATTACATAATAGTAATTCCTCTTTATCTTGAAACTTTCAAGTCATGTCGTATAAAGGAATACGAAAAGATCATCAGATTAGGAAACTCCGCCAGGGAACGATACCATAAAACAGTTTTCGATATAATAAAAATACTTGCCACTACCGCCAGAGTAGTGGCAACATTAACTAACAAAATAACTCCTAACAAAATTCGCTTGCTGACGTACAACAAGGATTCCGATCTGGAAAATCACACACTGATGCACATACAACACGCATATCAGTGTTTCATTGATCTTAAAAAAGCATTTGACCGTATTACGCTTCAAGATGTAACGCACCTGTTATATAATACTGATATATCGGTCAATATAATACAGACAATAGAAGATATATGTATATATGCGAATTCTATCATAGAAGCAAGAATCAACGGTAAATTAACAAACAATATCACAATAAACAGTGGCATCTTTAAGTCCACAACTGTTTAATATAGTCATGGACGAAATAATAAAACAAATAAAACGTGTTAGAGGATATAGAATGGGCGATAGAGAAATCCGTACATAGAAATATTCACAGAAAAAACAAAATCTAAAGCCACGTTTAAACAAGAGCAACAACTAAAATTTCAGTATCTGGGTATGAATGTAACAGGTGGCAAAAGCAAATAAAATAGCGGGGTGCCTCAACCAACTGATTTGGAAACACAAACATATTAATCGAACCATATAAACAAGAACATATATTACAACGATAAGGGCCTTTATGACTTATATATCGGACACAAAACCAGATACATCAAAAATAAGAACACTTCTTGAGACAACTGCGATGAAAATTCTTAGAAAGATTCCGGGGAAAACCTTATTGGACAGAAAGCGAAGTGAAGATATAAGAAAGAAATGCAAAGTTAGCGAATGGGTACGAAATAGAAAACAGGAATTGAACCAACAAACTTGTGTGAGTAGCCCCAAACAAATCACCTGACGACAGCAGAAGTATTACATAATAGTAATTCATAGAATTACCTTTTTAAGTCGTCCCCTCAAATAACTGCTTATCCAATTTAATTTTTGATTAATAATAATTACATCATCATAAAGATTTTCTCCACTATTAGTTAAGGTTAGGTAATAAATAAAATTGCAACATTTAAAAACAATTAAAGTGACAGTCCGGTGGCAACGGGGACCTTGAATGTCACGCAAGCGAGGTTATTTAACGTCCATCTGAACGCTCTTCCTTTCAACTAATCAAAAAAGTTCGCGGTGACCAGTGTTTACTTTGCTCTCTGTCTATAAGTACTTTCTCTACGTAATGGTGAAACACGCTACCGGGGTTATAAGCCAACAACTTCTATGTTCGTTATCCAAAAAAAATACCTTGTTTGCCGCAAATAAAGCTCTGATGGACTTCTTCAGTTAGCTCACGTCTGTTTGTTCAAACGTTTGTTCTGTTAAAGCTGCCGGTAAAGTATGTTGAATTACTAAGAATTTTCCATTAAAAAAATTAAAAAAATGTAAGGGTAAAAATAAGGTATGTTTCAATATTAGTCTGATAAACGTGCAATAATCTTGGATTGGGAACTAAAGCGACGCACGTCACAGGATTAAAGGGGCATTAAACAGGGATTAGCATAATTGGGCGTCGTTTACGAACACAATAGGTTCGACCGGCGTCCCGCTGCGTTGGACAGCAATAAGGTGAGGGTGCCCGGCCAATATTAATCCACTGGAATAATATTTGGTTGCAACCAGTTATTGCAGTTTATTAATTTTCCCTTCCGACCACTGAACCCACACGTGTCGCTCGTATTATTTAAAAAGTAATCGTTTACGAATGACTAGCTTTATACGTGCAACTATCAAAACAATAACGCCTCATTCAACAAAAAAACTCTATTAAGATAATATTTTTCGTAATAAAAATTTTAAGCTATTTATCTTGAAAATCTTTACGCACTCACGTGCGTGCTGAGACTCGGAATAAAGAGGCCCGAGGAGCCGTAAACCGACCAGTTTTCGAGAGGCAATTAAAATAATAATGCCGTGCACCCTCTATACCGTTCGTAAGGGCAAAAAAGAGTAGTGGTATTGAAAGGTCGTTAGGGTGTAGGTGGAAAATCTGCGACGCTCCGATGAACGCATTCACTACGACTCGGGCACAAGTGTTCGCAGGCGGCCGCGTTTCTCCGAATCAAACCGCGTAATTGGGAAAGAATTTACTCTTTGGGACCCGGCCTTTATTTACTTTTAGGTATAGGACCTACGATACCCCATCGGAAAGTGCGTGAGCTGGACCCTTCCAGGATTCACGCTCCCTTGGATATTATCAATACAACTAGATTATTATTTTTAAGAGTTTCATCGATAAATTTCAGAAAAAAAGTAACATTTTTTGAGAAGTATCAAACAAAAATCGTTTAACATAATGATAATTCTCTGCCACTGTTTCTTTTCGTCTGACTTTGCAATTTGGTAAGTTCTGATTGCAATTCTTTCCAAACTGCTGTGGCAAATACCTTTATGCATTTGTGAAAAGCAACAATTTCTTTCCAGAGACATTATCAGATTTTACTAGAGGTTTCGATTTTGTTACAGTACTAACAAACATTTATTTATTCATTAACATCCATTTTAATAAAAGAAGTACAAAGGAAAAACAGTATTTTATTATATCTAACAAATAACGATGATAATATTTTGCGCTAGACAGACAAGGACGTCACAATATTGTGTTAACGCGACTGATCAAAAGCTTTTGATATGATTGGCCTAAGCATCGTTTCAGCATTATATGAATCTGCAATTCATAATGTTTAAGTGAAAATAAAATAAACAAAATCTTGAATAACTTGAATGTAATAATAAAATATTTTCCTACTCGTCATTCCGGCTGGTTATTAATTCAGATGTAAAATTTTTCAAACAATTGATGCATTTTGAGTTAATATTACAATTCCATCACCTCGCCCACAAGCGACCTCGGTAAAGCAAGATTAAATTAAGTGTTATATGCTTGGTTTACTTTCGATCTCGGCGAAATTCAGATAGACGATTTCTCATTCAAGTGTTATACGTGTGATTTACTTTCAAAGATGTCAAATGAACGATAATGTATAATATTGCCGAGGTCGCTTGCGGGCGAGGCGCTAGATATATAATTTTATCAATATAAAGTTTGTTTAATC